GCGGCCGCGAGCCTGTGCGCTGCCTACTGGCTCTGCCCCGCCCACTGGACTCCACCCTCTACTCTGCTAAATTGGTTGCCATTTTTGTACTTATGTTCCAGCTTTGACAGTTTTGTAGATCTCTCTTGTCCCTGTCATTGACCTTCCTGTTCTTTGTGCTGTTCTGAGGTTGTGCCTTCATGTTTTAAAATATTACTGTCATTTTAGTGGGGATTTGGGAGGGAAAGGAGACAAATATCCCCGCTCAGTTCATGGTTAACTAGAAGCCCCCCCTTCTGAGTACCTTCTGTGTGCCAGTCCCTACCCCCAGTTTCACATGGCTTTTGTCACCTAAGTCTGAGCTTAGAGGACACTTCTCCCAGGAAGGCCTCCTTAACCACCCTCATCTAATGGAGCCACCTGGTGCCTCTCTGCCACATCAGCCTTCTTGACATTTGTTCACAGCCCTTAGCTCTACTTGAGATTGTTTTATATGTTTACTTTCATTGATGTATTTGCCTTTCTCCCAGCCTCCCCCAGAAGATTTGCCATGTGGGGGCAAGACCTTGTATGTCTGTTCTTCACTCTACCCTTAGCACCTCACACAGTGTCAGGCAAAACACATGCTCAAGAATTCATGCTGAATGGCCGGATGAATTTCAGCTCAGGATTTCTAAGAGACAAACTTCAGCATAACCTAAGGAAGAAGCTGGGGATGGCCAGAGTTTCCTGAAAATGGAAGACACTGCCAGTGAGAAGGTCAGACTCTCATCCTGGGAGAGCTATAAGCTTAGGCCGATACTGGGATGCGCCCAGGTCTTGGAGTTAGCCTGGTCCACATGCAGTTCTACCTCTCCTCTTCCTGGTCCTATGATCTTGGGCAACACTGAGGTCCTGAGTTCTATTAACAAGCATGAGCCTTCTAGTAAAATGACCGATATGTAGTAGGCTGTTCCAACAATCTGGGTTAAAAGCCTGATTTCATCCTTCCGGGCAGTGGGACCTGTGCAAGCTGCTTGAAGCCTTGGGCCTCAGTTTCCTCATCTGAGATGAAGGTATAACCACACTGGCCTCATCAGGTCATGTCAAGTCTCAGGCTTGGAGAGCAACAGGTGGCAATCAATGCCTGTACCCACCTCCTGGGCAGGAAGTACCACACGTGAGGACCAGAGTGGGGACAGCAGGCTCTGAGCTGCGGCTTCTGGGGTGCCCAGAGACCTGGGGCATCTGTGCAACTCTGCAGGATATGGGGCAGAACAGACCTGAGGGCTCCATCAGAAGCAAAGAGCTTGACATCTCTAGAAAGCAGCTTTATTTTGCTCAGAAGGGAAGCTTGTGTAGGAAAGGGCAGGGAAAACTGTCTCCATCTGACAGTTCGAATAATAGCTCTGTTATTACTAGTGGCCTCAAGACACCTCTCTGAGCCTCAGTTTTCCCATGTTTCTCACCTTGCTGGGGTGAAGTGAGCCTTCCCCCATTCTAGCTGTTCACTGAGCACCTGCTGTGTGCTGGGGAAACCTCAGTGACCAAAGCAAAGTCAATGCCCCCCTGTAGCTTGCATTGGAGTGAGTCCATGAGATGATGTGCTTTGAGGAATTAGCACATAGTAGATGCTCTAAAAATGGTACTTACTGTTTTGCTAGTGGAGCTGTCTAATGTGTATGAATTCACCCTTTGATACTTGAGAGTGGTGACAATTTAAATAGAGCAGGTAAGCCCCACCCTCCCTTGTAGTTTTCTCCTTTGTGTGCTGTAACTTCAAAGCCTTACTCTGAATAAGAGACTCCTGCTTCCCTCCAGCTCTTCAAGGGTAGCCTCTATGGCCCCAAAGCACTACCTCCAGCCAGCCTGATGCTGGGCCAGAAGCCCCAGCGCCTGCTTTGGAGTAGCACAGGTCTGATGGAGAGGCAGATGGGAATGCGGCCACTGGCAGAGCTGGGGCTCCTGACGAGGGGCTGGGTGGGGGTTCCAGGGAGAGTCTCTCCTCCTGGTTTCTAAGCTGGTCCCTTTTTTTTTTTTCTAAATCCTTACCCAAGGACATGTTCATTGACTTTTGGGGGGGGGCGGGGAGAAACATCGATTGGCTGCCTCCTGCACATGCCCCGACCAGGGCCAGGGATTGACATGTAACCGAGGTATGTGTCCTGACCAGGAACAGAACCTGCGACCTTTTGGTGTACGGGATAACACTCCAACCAACTAAGCCACACCAAGCGGGGCAAAGCTGGCCCTTCTTAAAGGGGTGGGAATGAGTAGGTGGAGAATGCAGGGAAGGGCATTCCCAGCTGTGGGAACAACCTTTGCAAAGAAAGGTCCAGGGAGGAGAGCTTGAGTTGGGAGTGGCTGGACTTGGGAGATGTCTGGGCAGTTCCCCACTTAGGGAGCTGTGGCAGGTTTTGGAGCTTGGCCAACCCTATTTTGGAAGGCTTTCTCAGGCTGCAGTGTGGAGAAACAGACCAGGAAGCACGGAGGAGGGGCAGAGAGGGTCGCTGATGCTGCCGAGCTCCCAAAACTGGCCACCAGAGGGCACAGTAGGTCAGCAGGCCGTGGGGACCTCTGTCAGTGTCAGGATGTGTGCGGGCACAGCTGTGCATGTGGATTGTCTGTGAATGTACCTGAGCCTGTGTGGCCACTCCACATGACTGTACGTGCTTGTGTACTTCATTTGTTCATGAGTATGTGCATGTGTATTTGGGGTATGTGGACTTAGGTTTAAAAGAAGTCAGGTGGGGTTGGGACTATGCAAAGATGTGTGAATGAGCAAGAGTGCACAGAGGCGAGAACAGGGGCCTCAACATCTCCCACAACTCCAGCTATACTGTTATTCCCCCATAAGCCATCCATCTCAGGGCATTTGCACATGCTGTTCCTCTGCCTGGCACGTGTTCCCCCAGACATCCTCATGACTCCTTCCTCAGGTCTAGGCTTATGTTATGTCCAGTGAGGTTTTTTCAGACCTCCCTCCTTAAAGTTACAGCTCCCACCCCAGACATACTCCATCCATGTCCCTTTCCCTCCTTTTCACCACAGTAATTATCATCCTCTGACAAAGACTGTAATTTCATTTAGGCATTTTGCTTGTCTCGCTCACCCACTGGACCATTGCCTCCCGAGGGCAGGGAGTTGTGTCTGTCTTGTTCAGTGTTGTGCCCTCGAGCTAGGCACACAGTAAGTGCTCCATAAATAGTTGTTGAAAGAATGAATGAGTTAGCTTCCCCGATCCTGGGTTCAGACCAGCCTCTTTCCAGCCCTCTGTCTCCCCAGGTCCTGCCTACCTCAGCTCACACCCACATCATGACTTGGTCATACCCCTTTCCACCTGTGCCTCAGTTTCCCTGAGTCTAGAGAGAGGGATGTTTGGGACTTTTCTTCTAGGAGTCAGGGTAAGAGGCAGCTGTTGTGAGACTGTCAAATGCCCTTCCTGGTTTTTGAGTGGTTGTGGAGTTCCCCAGCCTCACTGTGCTAATTACAGGCAGAGGGAGGCAGAGACATATTGCTGCAACTAGCT